ATATAGAGATTATCAAATACTGGATGAGGTTGATATATACGTACGCTATCCCAGTTGAGACACAAAATCAACAGCTACGAGCCAAGAAACCCCAAATTGTGGCGGTTGGTACCCACAGCGAGAGCCTAGAAGGGACCAGTGAAAACAAGAAGAAACAGGTAAAATGTACTAAAATACCATCAACAATAATTTGCTGAAAGCCATTGTGTACATAACTTACTTTACCTATATTGTATCTATTTAGATTAAAGAACAGTTTAAAATAATATTCAATGAAATCAAAGGCACGCCATATGAATGTCACGTGGTGAGGGAAATGTATGCCATCGACAACAAGTTTCCATTGAAAAGTGTGATGCTGGAGACTCTCAAACAAGATGTCGGCGGATTTCTCAAAGCGATGCCCAAAACAATTCCACTTAAGTGGCTTGATTTCCAAAGTAAAATCCAGGAGATTGGTAGGACAGCAATACGCATGACTTATGTTAAGGTATTGTACATTTGCATATAAACATAATTACCACCCTCAAAGACTTGAAATGCGTGAATACACAAGTTGGGTGGGAGGGCAGGGCCACGGGGGGCGCCAGGGCCAATGGGAGCCAAGGGCAGAACCCCGGTAGTGTCAGGTCTCCAGTCACATAATCAGTGTTTGGTTGAGGCAATGAATGCGCAAGACTACACGTGACTACAATACTCCAATAAGTGCGTGGTTGGCTAGGTTCTTTTCATCGGGAAAGAGAAATTTTCTTGATGAATTGATTCTTGAACAAGATACTGAACAACAGAATACTGAAGCATACAGTGATAATAAACCCACGGAAACTGATTGAAATCTTCAAGAAAATCATCACAGTGGTGGAACCTTATGACAGTGATAAGGTGAGTTAATTAGAAACTAAGTTTTCTTGATGAATTGATTCTTAAACAAGATACTGTAGCGAAAGCTCTGTAATGACTCAATGTAATCTATATTTTATCGTATCTCTATTTCATGACATTAAGGTTTGTGAAGTTGCCACTAAGTGTGGAATTTCTGTGGAGAACCTCATTCACATCCTCAATTACCTACATGATCTTGGAATCATTCTGTACTTTGAGAACAACAGAATACTGAAGCATACAGTGATAACAAACCCACGGAAGCTGATTGAAATCTTCAAGAAAATCATCACAGTGGTGGAACCTAATGACAGTGATAAGGTGAGTTAATTAGAAACTAAGTTTTCTTGATGAATTGATTCTTGAACAAGATACTGTGACAAAAGCTCTCTAATGACTCAATGTAAACTATATTTTATCGTATCTTTATTTCATGACATTAAGGTTTGTGAAGTTGCCACTAAGTGCGGAATTTTTGTAGAGAACCTCATTCACATCCTCAATTACCTACATGATCTTGGAATCATTCTGCACTTTGAGAACAACATAATACTGAAGCATACAGTGATAATAAACCCATGGAAACTGATTGAAATCTTCAAGAAAATCATCACAGTGGTGGAACCTAATGACAGTGATAAGGTGAGTTAATTAGAAACTAAGTTTTCAAGTATTCAACCTTATAAGCTGGCAGTCAGAGCAGAGGCAAATTGTTGTGGCCGGTGGCAGGCCGACACAATTTATTATATCCATAAACACTCCATCCATTCCCTTTAATACAACTCATTATCTCTTGTCAAAATATGTTATGAAGACAGTATGATAGACCTTGTTTTTTTTTTAATAGTGTATTGGATTTTCAAGTATTACATCTATCTAATAGTTTTCCTCCACTTAACCAAACTGTAATTTTACTCTGAAATCTAAATGTGTCTTCAAATTCAGAAGCTTACTTTTGTAAAATTACAAAGTTCTGAGGTGAAGTCACACTCATATTAAGGCTAATGTTAATGCACTACACATAA